CATAGTAGAAAGTGTCTGAATTTTATTTTATTTTGTCTGTTATTTTCATTAATTTGATTCCACTGGATTTTATTTGAGGTCATCAGAGCAAAGAGCTTTCGATGCAGTTGCTAATCACTCTCAGATTTTTACCAATAAATAATGTTAAAGACCTCGTATGCTATTATTAATTCACTTCACACTTATGAACAATTTTATGAAAGGTACTGGATTTATGATGAGATGCTTGTAGCTAATCCAAAACTGGTTTGTCAAAGCGTTTTGTGAAGGCTGCATTTATTGCTGCTGGATGTTAGCCCTTCGGGTCACTTATGCACTTTTTAGGCAGAGTAATTCCTCTGTAGGACTCTAAGGACATTTTAAGGTTAACTATGTGGTTCCTGCAGACCGGTATAATAACAAAGCTCACTCCTGCGACTTCTATTCAGAAACTCCAGGTTATTTTAAGATCTCTTTTCACTAATCATTCTTTTTTTTTTTTTTTACCTTTGTGTTTACGTCTTGATAGGTTGCTCCCCCTGGTGGCCCGCCGCAGCAGCAACAGCAGCCCCAGGCACAACAGCAGGTGCCTCAAGCGGTTCCCGGCAGTGCAGAGGCACAGCTCATCTCCTTCGACTGAAAGCTCCCACACTGCAGAGTTTCACACACTACACCTTCTCTCTTCCTTTAACACCCCTTTCCTGGACTCAGAGGTTTCCCTTTGGAAATATAAACTAAATTCCCACCTTCCACCTTGCTGTGATGTTGTGGCAAAGTGAAATGTTGTGATGATGTTGCAGAACTGTTGCTCTCCTTGCCTCTTCCCCCCCATAAAGTGAGGGAATATGGGGGTAAAGCTGCTACGGAGAGCCCCAAAACCCACGACCCCCATCTTCTGTCATCTTTCGGCTGATGTGTATGTAGTATTTCTTTATTAAACGAATAACTAAAGCGCAAAAATAATAATCAGTGGTGTTCAAGATAACATGAGTAAGAAAATATATTATTTAGAAGACAAAAATAAGACCCGCCTCTTTTGTTTCGTATTTTTCTAAAATAAATCATTAGCACGTTTAATTATTTTCTGCAATGGCAGTGGAATATTACAACCTGTTTTGTCAGCGACTGAGGAAACATCTGTCTGGTGTTAAAGAGGCTGTGGATCAAGCGAGGGGCTGTTTGAGTTGTGAAAGCTGGCCGTCATCTGGTTTTCCAGGTGTCCCTCACGGACAAATTTAGTTCCTTCTATTTTGGGATTTATTTGTTGTGCGCAGTTTGGACTGTGGAGTGTCTGATTATAGTTTCTAAAATCAGTAAATGCATTAAAGGGATGCTATAGAAGTGTTGTCTAACCCTTGTTGAATAGCTCAGTAACTGCATTTTACTGTTGGTTACCAAGAAATACTAAAATCAGCCTGAAAACCTTAACCACGACATGCAACCTTTTTTTTTTAATGAAATGTCAGTTGTTGCCAAGTAAAACATCACCTGGCTGAAACAAGCGTAGATTTAATTCATGGTCATTCTGGTGTAATAGTTGAGCTGCGAAGAAAGTTCAGGTGGGCACTCTTTCTCAAGTGTACTTGTTTGTTTGTTGTTCTTTTTTAGAAATATGGAAATGCTTATAGAATGAAAATGTGCTGCATGTATGTATCACACTTTCTGTATCTCTTCAGTTTCCATGTGTGAACTTCTTTAATTCCATCGTTCTGATCTGACTTTAAAGTAATTTTAAAAATATATTTAATAAACTTCAGATTCTTACTGTCAACTTGCTTCAACTTTGCCTTATTTCCCACCTGGATTTAAAAAAATCGCAAGTTTCAATTTACATCATGTTCATCCAAATAAATGCAAATTAAAAGAAATTTAAACAAGGAAGTTGCGATACACAGATGAGACATGAACAGTGCATTTAATATTTTACAAATGCATGTGACAATACAAAAAACTATATTTTTCAGTTATTTCACAATATTTAGAATGAACAAAGGAAAAAAAAAACATTAAAAATAATAAAGGTGTGGTAAACGAAACAGAAGTACAGACCTGATGAGAGGAAATGACATGCTGGTAGATTATGTACATCCAACCAAACTAAACTCTATAAAATGTTCTCAAAGTTCTAACACATGTAAGTAAATTAACCATTTCCACAATAATATTCCATCCAAAATTTGCTAAAGAATATGGTTGCGATTCTTTTTACTGCTCCTCTGTCCTGTGGATTTGTTAAATAATGTCTAACAGGGATAACCATCAGAGTTTCCTGAAGATGAGGCATTTGTAGTAGTCTTCCATCTCAACCTGAAAGTAAAATTTTACATGCATAAAATATATGGCAACACTTTGACAGGGTGTGCATAAGACTGAGATGACACTTTCATAAACGTGACATAACATCTGTCATGAACATGAAGGAGTATTTATGAATGTCTGACTGTTGTCATGAAGTTTCATTCGGTAAATATTGACGCAAAGTTGCTCTAAAAGCCGCATTAAAGTGTCGTTATTTATCATGCAAAGTTGGCACTTTTAATGCAACTTTTAAACCAACTTTGCTTTAAAAGTGTCATTATTTACCGAATGACACTTCATGACAACAGTCATAGACATTCATGAGGACTTATTCATGTTCATGATAGATGTTACGTCATGTTTATGACAGAGTCATGTCAGCGTTATGCACACCCCGTGAAATAAAATGTTACCAGATATATCTTGGTGTTTGTACTGTAAATACATTGAGAGTTTTTAGCACATTATTTCTCACCATTCTCTCCAAACGCAGCCCGTTTCCGTAGGCCTGCTGTCTCAGGACATCAAGGTCTGGAAGACCCCACTCTGGATTCCTGACCAACAGAATGACTCCAGCTGTTATTTAAACAGTTGTGAGTTTAAATATAATTTTTTACCAATCAAATCTGTCTTTATCCGTCTTCTGCCAAATGATGTTGGTGTGTAAAGACGTTCAATATCAGTTAATTTTACGTATCGAATGTAGAAGCAGCCCATTTATTAATACTTCAGCAGCTTGTTAAAGGGTTTTTATAAATACATTTTGGAACACCGTCCCTTTGAGAACATTCGAGATATGGCCCAAAGTAAAAATTAGTTTGATATTTCTGCTTAAAGTAAAAACTAAATTCCTCACACTTCCAACAAGATCTTAAAACAGTCAACAATAAAATAGCAAAGAAGTCATCTAACATCCCAACATATTTCCAACAATGTTTCTGAAAATTTTGAGCCGCTCCATCATGAACACATAAACAACGGAAACAGTTTTTACTCACAGTTTCCGCAGTTCTTCATCCAGAACTTCATTACAGCTTGGTGTAATGACGCCATTAACGGCATAGACCTGAAAAAATATTCAGCAAGGTGTCAGTGTTTAAAGCCCGTTGTGGGATCATGTTTTTGTACATTGTGACCATAACCTTAAATGTCATATCAGTGGATAATAAGCAGCTTATAAATAATTGAACAAAAGAAATGGGAGAAGGGCTTAAAATGGCTCATTAAAATATCCAAATGACTGCAACATTCATAGCCATGATGAGTGAATATCATGATCTGACTTTAACCGTATGTTCAACTTGATGATAATGTGAAGTGTGTAACATAGCAAGCTGTTTTCAACATACCCCATATGTTATCAAAAGGCCATTTGGTTTGAGGATCTGTCCTGCTCCACTGATTACACCCTTGGAAAAATATTAGATGCACAAGGGACGCCGGTTATAAATGTGTGAGCTTCTCAAGAGTGGCAGATTTCCAGCTGGTTTTTCAGATGCCTACCTGTGCTGTTTTGAAGGAGCTGTACTGCAGGAGGTTAACGGCGACAATAACATCACAGGTGTTACGGGAAACACCTGCCCATTTGTCCCAAGGTTCACTCGCATCCAGCAGGACTGGCTGCAGCACAGTTTTCACATGGGTTGCAGCTATATATGCCTTTATGCTGAAAATGAATACACATTCCTTCACTTTTTACATGACTTGCTGGGGGGGGGGGAAAAACAAACAAACAAACAAAAAAAAGTTTGTGAGAGACAAACCTGTCTCGGCACTCCTCTTTGATGTCCGATGGCTGCCAGGTAACGAAAGGTAGCTTCTGTGCAAACCGTATGACATGCTGTCCTGTTCCGGAGCCGATCTCTAAAGCAAATAACTGCTTGTGAGACTGATCGTCCAGCACGTCTTCGAGCACCTCGCAGATACCCTCCCAGTTCCTCTCTGCCTGCGGAGAGAGCAGCATGATCTGGAAGAGAGATAGAACAGTGGGTCAAATCTTTAAATCAAATGTACTAATCTCTTATACCAAAGGTTACATCTTACCCTCTCTTTTGCTGGGTTGCAGAGTTTATCTAAGAAGTAACATATTGGTGTAGAGTGGACGTGGGCTGGGTGACTGTAACAGCAGATGGGTTGACAGATTACCTGGTTAAGAGGATTCACTCTGCACTCCACCCCATGGTAGTAAGGCTAGGACACAAGTGTAAATTGAGGACAAAAATAATATAAATACTGCAAAGGTGTGTTTGAGTAATGTGATACAACTAACTGAACAACCCTTACTGAACCTACAGAGACACATAAAGACAATTACAAAGTCAGCCTTCTATCACCTGAATAATATTTCCAGGATTTAAGGACCAATGTCCCTGCAAGATCTAAAAATATTCACTTATGTGTTTGTCTTTAGTGAAATTGATTACTGCAACAGTGTCCACAAGTCTGCCTAAGAAGTCAGACAACTCCAGCTAAACCAGAATGCTGCAACTAGCTTTCCCACTAAAACTAGCTATCATGCCAACAATAAAGTACTTACACCGACTCTCTGTAGCTCAGAGAACAGATTTTAAAAATACTTCTGTTAGTTTATGAGCCACTCAGGTCATCTCTGCATCCACAGAACCAGATCCAAGCGTGGAGAAGCAGTACTCAGTTTTTATGCTCCTCTAATCTGGAACAAACTTCCAAAATACAGCAAAAATGTAGGGACGCTGAACTCCTTTAAAGGTTAAACCCTATTTGTTAAGAGTTGTCTTTCACTAATAATAACTGGGGCATACATTAATTCTAGTCTGGAATGCAAATTCTTATAACTTCTCTTTATTTTGACAACCTGACAATGTTTCTTTTTTGTCTTTTTCATTGGACTGAAATGAATTGTACAGAGCATTTGCTACAGGTCCCTTGCACCAGTTTGCACTTATGAATTCTCAATATTGTCTTTCTGACATCTCTTCTAAATACCAGTCCAGGTCATTTTGTTTGGAGAACCATAATTACTTTAGCGCGCATTGTCCCTTATCAGCTCCCGTAGGTTTGCTAACAGTTCGAGTTCATCTAATGCATTGTGGGTAGGTCAGGCACAGGGAGGACGCCATGTGCTGTTGAGGCTCTGGAATTGGACCTGTCTGTGCTCATCTCGATTTGTTCTGTTTCAGTGGGACTTTGGGCTCCACAGCTCCGGTTAACGCCAGCATGTACTGCACCAGACGCTGCCTCCGGACCGCGTTGCGGGCCGCCGCGAACGTTCACCGGTACGTAACCCCGGAACAGTCGCTCATCTCTGCGTCTTCTTGGGGGTTTCTTCAAGGGCAGACAGCCAGTCTCTGATGCCGCTGTTATTGCATATTATCTCGTGTTTATCTCTGCTAACGTCGTGGAAATACTGCATGCTGTATTAGGCTGCAGTTTAAACCCAGTTTCATGCTACGCGACGGTGTTTCAGGTGAGTTAGCCGGTGGCAGGTGAGTTAGCCGGTGGTTAATGTCTTCTCTCTGGTTGCAACTGCAGCATCATGTTACTATTTGACTGATGTTGTAAAACGCAGCCAGACTTTAAGATCCACCCTTTCAGGTGGGCCGTTTTCTGTCTTCATTAGGTTGCTTTTACTGACAGTTACAGTGACATTCTTTGGAGTTTGTTTATTGCTAATTTGGTTGCCAGATATTTCAGATTTAAAAGTAAAAAAAAACACGCAGAGTCACCTGGAGAGCGCAGATCTGGCAACAATGTACGGTAGCTTTCTACTGTTTTTAAAATGGCATCGAGTTGTTAGTATGAAGCTACAGATACTTGTAGTTCTGTTTTTACCATGTATTGGGTAATATTTAAAAGTATCCAGGAATGTGTAAGACAATTACCTTTTGTCCTTTATAAAATATGGTAATTTAAAAAGTAAGTGTTACTTAAACTAAGGTGTCAAAAGTAGGTTTGATAAGATGCTTAAGTAATATTTAATATATATATTCAAAATTATTGTTAAAATGAAATGTAAGAAAAATAGTATATCAAGAATAATGTCAAATTAATAATATATATCCAGTAATGTGTGATAAAATTAATGAATGTCAAAAATTAAAAACTAAAAAAGCAATGAAAGTAGTTTGACTAAAGTAAAATGTTATGTTTAAATCAAAAGATAACCAAAAATTGAGACTTATGCAGAGATTTTGGTATTTTTTGTTTTTAGATTTGGACCACTCATTACAAATTGTAATCACACTTTTATGTTGGCTTTAAAACATTGTGGACTTAACTTGTTGACTTGGTTGCACATGTTTAACATTTGAGTGGAATGAGAAAATTGTTAAAACTGAAAAAAGAAGCCTTCAAATCAGATTTGAAATGTGCAGAAAGCCAGAGGTTGTCTTTGTTGTTTTTAGTATCAGCTGAAAGACGACTTGCTGCCTTCTGATCAATCTGAAAATTTGTGATTCTCAAACAGTTCAGCTTCTATTAACAATAATACTGAAAGAAACGTGTAACTCAAATGATACGTTGAATACAGAAGAAACATACTAATATATTTTTATCTATTTGATTATTTTTTTTTTTTTATTTCTTGCAACATTTCAGCATCTTTAGAATCTCATTTCCAACTCGTCCAATGAGTGAGAATCGCTTTCAGAGCAGATATTCCCAAAGCTAAACTCCCGCAGAATCCCTGTTGTTTTTCGTCAACGTGTCTCCAGATAATGACCAGATACAGTCATGTGTTTTTCAGGCACCACCTTCAGCAGCAGGCACCGGCTCTGTGTTCTGTCCGGCTTCTGAAAACCAGTTCGACCGCCTTTTCAGAAGCCTTAGCCACGCCCGCTCTAGACGGAGCGCCCAAAGAGTACTCTCCAAAAATCCAACAGCTGGTCAGCGACATCGCCAGCCTCACCTTGCTAGAGGTGTCAGACCTCAACGAGCTCCTCAAGGTTTGTGGAAAAGGTCCCTTTTTTTTTTTTTTAATGCTGAACCTGAATAACCGGAGTCTTTGGTCCAACTCATGTTTTTGGGGGATAATCTTTTCTAATTCTCACTTTCAGAAAACTCTGAATATTCAAGATGTTGGAATGATGCCGATGGGGGCAATGGGTGCATCTGCTGTCCCTGCAGCTCAGGTACAAACTCTGACTCTGGTCGCCATAAAAAAAATAAATAAAAAAAAAACGACACGATCCGGTGACTTAAAATCTTAACATCTCGGTTGTAGTTTTTGGCTGACATTGCTTGTTCGTTTTCCTTCTTGTGAAACCAGGCCGCAGAAGAGGAGGAGGCGCCGGTAAAGATGGAAAAGACTCAATTCACAGTAAAACTGACAGAGTTGAAAGCAGCTGAAAAAGTAAAGCTTATAAAGGAAGTGAAGAACTGCATACAAGGCTTGAATCTGGTGCAGGTAAGAGTAAATTAATGTCTGCTTGCTCTGTTACTCGCTCTTAAAAAAAGTAAAGTTTATTTTATTGTTTGAAGGTTTTCACTGGTATATTTCTGTGTAAAAGAGTTTTTGGTGTTTGGTCAGCTGTAAAAAATAGAACAAACTTCTTGTAGATGATCACAAGGCAGAACAACTTGTAGTTGCATTTTGCAGGTTTGCATGAACAAAATGTGGCTTAGAATTAGGATCTTTTGTTTGATGAGATGTGTGACAATATTGGTTGTTGAGCAGTAAAACTATTGCCAGATTTCTTTTTAGGCGATGTTGGGACTGCTACAAATATTTATTTTGTAGGAAAAGGAATGCATACGTAACATGTTGGTTGTATTATTTAATCTGTCAGTGGCAAACATCAGACATGAACAGTACATGTGTAAATTAATCCTTATTATGCAAGTGAGTTGCAGACTCCTGGTTGTTTTCCGATCTAAAGCAGCCGTGTAATCACTCCGACTGAACCAAGAGTGGTTTAATGCTAAAGACAATAAAAGTCGCAGAAAAATGAAGTTGGTTTCAGTGCTGATGTTTGTCTAATATCTACATAAACATGTTCACCTCTCGGTTTAATTACAACTACAGATTTTTGATGTACTATCTTAATCTGACGCTCTTTAGTTCTTATAATTTGCAGCTTCTTTATATTCTAAATCTTGAGAACTGCATGAAGAGCTACGAAACATGCAATATTTTTACTCTTACCAGATCAGTGTTGCAGATTGCCTCAGTCCAATCCTCTGTCTCTCTCTCAGGCTAAGAAGCTGGTGGAGTCCCTTCCCCAGGAAATCCGGGCGAATGTGTCCAAAGACGAAGCAGAAAAACTCAAAGCGGCTCTGGAAGCAGCAGGTGGCACTGTGGTGCTGGAGTAAAGCCGTGGAACCACTCGCCCCGTTTACTCTGGAGTTCTGTTGTTCGTGCACTTCATCCTTCATGTATATATGTTTTCTTTTGTTTTTTTTGTTGTTTTTTTTAACTCAAAAAGAAAAAAGAAAAAAAAAAGAGGATCTCAAGAGAAATGGAAAGAAAACACATTTTCCAACGCTCTCATCCTTTAGCATTGTCAGGTGGGGTGGTACAACTTTGGAGTGAACTTTCCAGAGAATTCATCCTCCGCAAATGACTGCTGCGCTCCCTGCTTATGCGCTCACATGTTGCGTAGCTTGGAAGCTTCAGAAATGCTGTCCTGGATGCCAAAAGGAATCGGTGCATTACTCTGTGTTGATGTTCAACTGTTCACAGATGAAGGTTTGAGCTGCAGGAGAATGGATACAAACGTGGAGGAACACCAAATGTAACTAGCGCAGTGGATGTCAACGCCGAGTCCATTAAAAAGTTCTAAATAATGTCATTAAAGTTGAAGTATTCTTATTTCACTCGCTTCTTGGTCCTGTTTTTGTGTCAAACTGAACGTTTTGAAACACTCGTATTTTCTAGATGGGTTCAGTCGGTGCTTAAAGAAGCACTGTAAGTGAAAACCACAGTTTTACCCATGAAGGAACTTTAATATTTTATCCTGCTGAAAACAAGATGCTTTTTCTCTTTTTTTTTTCATGAGAAACTGAATTTTGTTGCTTTTTCAGGAGCTTTACACCACAGTTAAAAAAATATATACATTATGTGGAATGAGTTTTCACTTTTTAAATTATTGTGCTCACATACAAAAACTTATGTATTGAGATGACCATGCACCTGAGTGCATGACTGGAGGTAATCCACAATCTTTAAATTATGTCTAAATGCACTGTAAATAACATAGGCTGTGTTTGTGAATGCTTTGAGCTGAAATATGTTGCACTTATGGAGAGGCATTAATAAAAAAAATGCAATTTTCAAAACAAAAAGTAAGTAGTTTTTAAAAATAATTGGAAAATGTTTCAACTATTTGCAAAAGGTTTTTATCCCAGTTTAGTACAAAAGTCCGTAAACGTAATAATCAAAGAAAGATTCCGTTCCACTTGGACATTGTAAAAAAAAAAAAAAAAAAGTTTATTTGGGGTTTTAAGAGCAAAGGGGGCGGACGGACCTCTAAAACAGCCAGAATCTTTAAAATCGTCACCGCTCACTGTTTGCCACCAGGTGGCGTAGGAAGTCTCTAAAAAGACTGAACGGAGCTGAAATGTGTGACAGCTTCACCTGGACAAACATCTTTGATATCTGACTGATTCATTATTTACAAGTCCCTTTATAATCTTAATGTTAGCTGTCCTGCTGTTAGGAATTGATTTTAAGCAGGCTAAAGAGATTAAATACTTATTAGGCAACCATATTGTCTGTGGATCAGACAGTGGACCATAAAGCTCTAAGTCGAGGATTACAAAAAGCCTTTAAGAATGAGACTGAGGACTTTTTTGGTAAAGCAAGATGAATTTTACATATGTAGAAGAAGCAAAAAATATTCAAAACTGAACAATAAAGCACCAAATGTTGAATGAAAGACACAGATCATCCATCTGGTGATGGCTGATTTGCAAAATTTTCTGAACTCGCACACAAAATAAAGCTTTACTAAAAAAATGTTCATTGTGTTTAAGAGAAAACTGCCCATAGAAACCTTTGGAAGCGTTGCAAGGCCTTTGTGTTAACAATCCAGCATTTGGATTACCATTATTACTGGTGGCCTGACATGGCAAGTGAAAATAGAAGCACCCTGTGAAAAATGCTTTAGTTAACTGCTGGTTTGGTCAATGATACAGAAAATGAGGCAGCTTCACTGCCTTCTCTTAATTACAAACCATTGTTTATCACATGATTTATGATGGCAGTGGCACTTAATTTAGCATTTACTAAAGTTTGCGGCACTCAAAATACCATCACCACTCATTCTTTGTCATCTGCTTCTTTGCCACTTCCTGAACCATTTCCTCCTCTGGGCACGACTCTCCCTCTCCGTGGCCAAACTCTTCTTCCCACCTGCTCATGTCACCAAGTTTTGTCATCCAAGCTTTTCCTCTCCCTTGTCCAGACATCATTTGTCTTCACCTGTCTCCTGTTTCAACAGAAAACATCTTCATTCAAAGACTAGCCTTTTTACCATCACACGTTTTTTTAATATATGGAAAATAAAGTAAGTTATGTCAAAAACACTCATCGTTTTTTTTTTTTTTTTTGGCTATCCCAGCTGCTATATAACAAAGATAAATTTTTTTTTAAAAAGTTTAATTCCTTTACCTTAAAAAAGCCCACTGTTTCATGAAATATTTGTAATTAAGCATCTCAACCACTGCCAAAACCTCGAGAGAGGCTTTACTGCAATAAAGTTTACTCTGACTGAGAAAAGTCTGTGGATATCCGTCCCGGTGGGAGTCAGAAAATTGCTTTGCTGGAGGATGCACTAACACCCCACCGAGTCAGTGATGATGGATGCTTTCACACTGGTTTTGTGGCGTTGCGAGAGTGACACGAGTGGCGGGAGTGCAGAGAGGTGAAGAGAAAGAAAGAAGAAATAAAGAATTTGATGAAAACGTTCGTATTTCCAATTTTCATGCAAGTGTTGGGTATATTAATGAAAAGATGAACTCGTATCTTACCGTTCTTGTCTGACTCCTCACTGTTCACGAATGTCAGACCAAAGTTGGCCCCAAATCCAAACAGTTGTAGAGGATAAAACCTCTCTACGCTGATATTAAGCTGTGTAGTCAGAAGCAGGCCTCCTCCTTAACATTGCTCATAATATTTGCTAAAGCTTCTTCTCAAGGGAAGATTTATTTAAGGCCTTTGTTGTCAGACGGCATTAACTTCAGCAAAAAGGCAGCTTAATTTTATTAAGCAAGCCAACAAGATGCATGGAGCACAGAATCATGTCTGAACACAGTGAGTGGCTCTTACAAGGTTAGTCTGTTGATCGTGGATATTTGAGAAGCTTGCTGACAGGTTACTGTTCTTGTCCCCTGAGTAAACTCTCCCTCTTCTGTCCGATTCCCATTCATACTTTAGCAAAACTTGGACTGCATTAAACCTTCACCCAGCTGGATGCTGGGTGATGCTTCATGATGCTTTCCTCAGTGCAGCGTCCAAGATTTATAACATTTTAGAAGCAAAGTCTTCAAACTTGAATCCCAGGATGCTAGCAGTCTATATTGGTGAAACTACAACACCAACAAAGCTATTTTTATTTGAGTTACATACTCGCCCTCCCACAAACCAGCTGCACTCCTTTTCTTGGCACAAAAAGGCCAAAGGGTTCATTCTTGCACAAGTGCCTGAATTCAACAACGTGGATTTTCAAAATATCCACAAATCAGTTTAACGTCAGAAAGACGTTTAGTTTTTTGTTTTTTTTTCCATTCGTATGTGGCACGGACAACATCCTGTCAGCATCACACCAGACTGAACACTGCCTTCTGAAGATGCATCGTTCCTTTATTATCTCGTTTCATTACAGCAGCTAAACGGACATGCCTCTTCAAATGTTCACCAGTAAACCTGCTGCAGCTCTCGGGACAGGTGTGACTGACTCTCTGGGCTTCATTTCCAGACACTCTTACAAACTCAGCAGGAGGTGAAAGTGAAGAAGATCTTGATGAGAACACGAGGTTACGTGTCTCTCTCCAGTGGACTGAAAGTACAAAAAGCAAACTCACAAATGCTCATACTTTACAATATGTGCTGCATTTTTTTTTTTTTACAAAACATTCACATTCCATACACTTTTTTCCAAATAACTATATTTTCTTGCACATTTTGCCAACTCATGAGACTCAGTGAGGATAAACAGAAAAAAAGTAATCAGGAAATCATCCGCAGTCTCTAAAAATGACTCTGTCAAGATCATCTTGAATGTGTTCGAAGTCTGCATTTGACAATTTATTTTCTTTAACTTCGTTGTACAGGAGGTTTAAATTGTGACCCTCAAAATGGCCCAGCGAGTTTGAATTTTACGACAAAAGGTTTTTGACGCGACAGGAGTAGTTAAGAATAGTCGCAAATACGTGCAATTCCAGTCCTAATAGTCCAATTTAAAATGAATTTAGAGGCAATACATTCGCTGTGGCGATGGTGACCTTTTAAATCTTTTAGACCTCAGAATGTTGTAGTCGGGGACTCGAAGAAACGAAGAAGGTGATAAAAATCGAAGCACGCTCTACCTCATGCATAATTGCCAATGATTATCAGCCTTTTCCTCGTAAGGACTTGCATTGTGAGATTTCTTTCCGGTGTCAGCTACACTTAGGTGCTTGATGGACTGATGAGGAGTCTTGAACAATAAAAGGTAAAATTGTTTCCTTTTATATGTGCTGTTGAATGGGGTTAAGATCTATTGTAAGATGGAAAAGTGGTCACTTCTAATAGTCTAAAGATTTCTGAAACACCACGGATAATGTAGACTTAATAGCAGAAACGTTAAGCTAGTTTGTTTGAATGAACTTTATTTGCCGACACTCGAGTGCAACTCGTCTTTTTTTAGGCTGCGCTTTTTCCGCAAATCTCTTTGTTTTCTTGCATTTCATCAGTGATACAGATTTTTTTTTTTTTTTTT